CAGCCTGGGCAACACAGTAAGACCCCCATCTCTACAAAAATTTAAGAAGTATTGGCCAAGTGCAGTGGCTCACGCCTGAAATCCCAGCACTTTGGGAGGCTGAGACGGGCAGATCACCTGAGGTTTGAGACCAACCTGGCCAACCATGGCCAACATGGTGAAACCCCATCTCTACTAAAAATACAAAAATTAGCTGGGTATGTGGACATATGCCTGTAATCTGAGCTACTCGGGCGGCTGAGGCAGGAGAATTGCTTGAACTCAGGAGGCGAAAGTTGCAGTGAGCCAAGACAGCACCACTGCACTCCAGCGTGGGTGACAGATGGAGACAACGTCTCAAAAAAAACAAAAAAACAAAACAACAACAACAACAACAAAAAGACAAGAGAGAAGAACAAAGGACATCAAAACATCTGCCTAAGCCTGAAGGATCCAGCTAGTCACCCAGACTCTTCCAGAGCTGTTAAGTTGAATATATTCATATTTATTTGAGGTGGCATGAGGCAGAGGGCATGGCAATGACATCCCTCACTGTGCCTGAGTCTTGTGTCACACTGTCCTGTCCAGATGGGTTGCTTTTGCCACCTGGACTGCAGTTAGCCTGTCATCTCCCTCTGCCATCCTCCCAGAGACTCCTGCTGCTTCCTTCCTGCGTTGGGTCTCCATCCCATATAATCTTCTTTGTAATGGACTTCTCCTTTTTGGTGGACTGCATCCATGAGGGGCTTCTTGAGAAAGAGTAGATGAGAGGTACAGGAAGAAATAAGAAGTTGAGACCTTGCCCTTGCATGCTTTATTCCATCCTCACACTGGATTGGTATTTTGTTTGGGTATAGGCTTGTTTGTTGGTTTTGGTTGAAGATAATGTTCCTTCAAAATTTTGAAGTCATTATTTTAGTGTCTTCTATCTTCTAGTGCCAAGAAGCCTGATGCCATTCTATTTTCTGCTCTCTTTTGAAGTCCTGTTTCTTTTTCCAGAAACTTGTAGGAGCTTCTCTTTGTGCTCAGTATTCTTGATTATGAAACTCATGAGTGGGTCTTGATTTTCATCCATTATCCTGGCACTTGCTGGTCCTTTTCTGCCTCAGAAAAAGTTTTTTGAATTGTTTTGTTTTGACTTCCTGTTCATTGTTTTACCTATTTTCTTTTTCTCAATGCTCTATTATTTGGGTGTGGACTCTCGAACTGGTCCTCTCATTTTCTCATAGTATCATGTTCTTATTTCATGGATACAACGCTTTCATTTTCTCTCTGAGGATATTAATGGTATTTTAAAAAGTTCTCTTCACCCTCCATAATTTCTGTTTCTTTTAAGTTGCTTTTTTTGTTTGTTCTGGTCTTCCACTTTCTTACTAGAGGCTTTTCTTGGGCATCATATAATCTCTGGTTGTATGCTCATAGTTTAGAATAAGGAACTATTGGAAGCTCTGAGCTTCACTATGGTTTTCTAGCTGGGCCATTTGCTGGCGGAACTCCAGTGTCAGAATCTTCAGATCTTTCCCTCTGAGCTTCTCCCAAAGAAGTCTTTGAATATTGTGGCTGGAGAGAGTGAAGTCTGCCTGCCGGATTTCTCAGAGTCCAGCGAGGGAAGAGGGATGGGGAATCTCAGCATTCAGCATTTCGTATGTGTACAGTCCTTTAATCCCGTTTTCAGAACAGTATCCACATTTTCAGAACAGTATCCACAATCTCACCTATGCCAAATATCCTCTGCTTTATCCTCTCCGGAAACAAAGCTCCAGCCTTCTGCCTGGTAGTGGAGAGTGTTTCCCTATGGGCAAATAATAGAAGAGGGGATCTAGGGATTTAATTATTTCCTTAACAGTTTTTTCCATACTCCTTAGCTCCTCGTTCCATAGAGACCTTGGCTGCTACTTCCTGAGCCTTTTGAGGATTCTTTCCGGATAAATTGGTTGGTTCTCCACCTTCCCTCTCCTGGCTTAGATTTTCACTTTCTAGGATTGTTAAGTTAATTATCTTTCGTTCAGTTGCTTTCTGGATTCCACATTGTGTTGCTGTTATCTCTTCTCCTGTCATCTCTGACCTTGTGAGGTTTTGTCTTTAAAAGTCTTCAGCGTAGTTCTAGTCAGGTTTCGGGACGGAACGAAATTAACTGGGCTTGCTCAGTCCATCACCTTAATTCAGAAGTCCTTTGATGCACTTTCTTCAGTTGGTTCTGTGACACTGTATTCTCCTGAGTGTTGTCTTATTCACTTGATGCTCTCAACTCAGGTGCCCTTGTGGGGTCCCCTTCCTCTTTCTGCCCTCTCTGTGGTGAAGGGTCACAGCTTCCTTCCGAGCTCCTCTTCTTTAGCTGAATTCACCCTTAATTGGCTTCATTCAGTCCTAGGCCCCAAATACCACCCATATGCTATGCTTCTCAAACTCACATTTCCAGCCTGGCCTTCCTTCTGAATGTAGAATCGCTGACTCAGAGTCTTCTCTCGGGTGTCCAGTAAGCATTCCCTTCGCCCAAACCAGTTTCTCCTCCAGTGTTCTCCTGAGTAGAAGGCACCACCGTGTACCAGTTACTCAAGCTAAAAACCTGATGTCATTCCTTGATTCTTCTCTTTCTCCCACATCCAATCCCTCAGAAAATCCTGGAAGCTCTATTTTAAAAATATAGCCCCAATCTGGCCACTTCTCACCACTTTAACCACTATTTTAGATGTTCCCTTAACCAGAGAAGCTTTCTGGGCCACCCTATATAAGGTGGTCCACCCCTTCTAGCACAGCACTCTCACACTGTCTCTCTTTCTCTCTCTGTCTCTCAATCCAACACCACAGAACATATTCTATTTTTTTTTTTTTTTTTTGCCTTTTTATAGTTGTAACTCTCTTCTCCAACAGTGAAAACCTGGCCCCTCTTATTATCTGAGTGTTTCAGCTAAAAGGGATCTCAGAGGCTGAGGCCTCTGCATTCCAGAAAAGAAACTGAATAAACAGTCAAGTGAGTAGCCAATTCAAGATGATGCTAAGTAGTTTGTACAGAGCTTTTACATTTGAGAATTTTGTAATTCTGGGGATTAAATGTGCTGGGGATTAAAGGAGCAATAATGATATGCAACTATAACTTACCTTTATATGCTCCTTTTATATAATTTATCTGGGGAAATGTTTGTAGGAACTAAAGTTGCCTGATAGTGGTAATCCTATATTAATACTTAATTTGCAGGAGGGGCATGGTGGCTTACGCTTGTAATTCTAGCACTTTGGGAGGCTGAGGCGGGTGGATCACTTGAGGTCAGGGGTTTGAAACCAGCCTGGCCAACATGGTGAAACTCTGTTTTTACTAAAAACACAAAAATTAGCCAGGCGTGGTAGCACACGCCTGTAATCCCAGCTACTCGGAGGCTGAGACAGGAAAATTGCTTGAACCTGGAAGGTAGAGGTTGCGGTGAGCTGAGATTGTACCACTGCACTTCAGCCTGGGCGACAGAGCGAGACTCTGTCTCAAAAAAACAGAACAAAACAAAACAAACACCCAAAAACCTAATTTATTGAATAATCAAGATATATTCCATTTTTCTGGACAAAATGTAGAAGCTACTTGGAAGGTTGAGGCGAGATGATCCCTTAAGTCCAGGAGTCCAAAGTTCAGTGAGCTATGACAGCACCACTGCCTCCAGCCTGGGCAGCAGAGCAAGACCCTGTCTCTTAAAAAAAAGTAAAAAGTGGAGGCTAATGTCTCATCTTAGTTGCATTTTTCTAAGCCTTTTTTTCTCGACAGTGACTTTTTCTAGTGTCTATGCCTATATGCCGCTCAAACAAGGAAAAGAGAATTTGGAGAGAAGCAACTTCAAGCCCAGGGACACAGCCCTGGTCCAGTAATGTCCCAACCAGCCTTCCTGGAAATGGCCTCTTCCTTTCCTTCATGTGATCCCACTCTCTGCTCAAATACCCCCTGATCTGCCTGAAAGGATTTCCTGAACTTCTGGCCTGTGACAACAGTGGCCTTGTAGCTTCTCTCAGAGGCTGGAAGTGACTTTTTGTGGACCCCTTAACACAGCTACTCAAGAATTTCCTCCCTGATTTACTTATTCGTTTTGGCTGAGGACCACAGCAACACTGTGGAATGTTTGATTTATCAAAACAGTAAGTCCAGCCAGCGGGTTGGGGTCTCAGAAAATAAATGCACTCTCTCTGTGGTTCATTTCTTATACTCCCTGCCTTGGTTCGTTGTTGTTGTTTTAAATGCTTCCAGGCGACGTGCCTCTTTCTAATTCACAAGAAGTACCTGCTGGGACTACTGGTTGCCCTGGTAATATAAGATGTGAGTCAGGGAAGAAGTACTGGGAGCAGTGGCTTGGAGTTTAGCTGCTGTGATGGAGAAGAGAGTAGAAAGATGTCAGCGGGGTGCAGCTGGCTGCCATGGCAGCATGGGGAAAGAACCAGGATGCCTTGGGTTATTAGATTATTATTAACATTTGTTACATGGTTTGCAACATAAAGCTCTTCGCTATAATCAGTAAAGTCTTCATTATCTAAACAAACAAACAAACAAACAAACAACAGCAATGCTGCTCTGAGAGACCATGTGCCCACACATGGAAGATGAGTCCTGCTTCAAGGCCATCGGTTTGGGGCAACTTGAGAAAATAAACAGCATCTTTTGTGCTGAATAGTAACTAACTTTACATCAACAAAAAATTCCTTGTAGAAATGGAGCTCAAATTACCAGGCAGTTTCCCAGTAGTGTCACAGATGTTTGAGACAGGTGGTTATAAATACTTGTTGAAATCTCTGTAGGTTTTCATATCCTTACCTATAGAAGTAGATGTTTGCATTTTTGTTAACCTGTTGTCCCTAGAATTCAGCGGTGTGCTGGTCACATATTTTTACATTTTGGGTTCATGGAATGACTGTTTGATGAGTAAGATGACTATGTGTCACCTAGGGCTTTTCACTACTAAAGCCTATCTTGGTTTATTTTTTCTTTTCTTGAGCTGAATTCCATGGCTACACTAAAGAATGTGTTTGTGCTGCTTTATTTTTATTAGGGTACCAGAACATCTCGTGAAGAGCATAACTTGGCAGACACTGCAAGCTGTAAATTTTTGCCATAAACACAATGTAAGTCTCATGATCTCTTTTGAAAAGTGAGAAGGCTCCCCTTAAGCTGAGGTGGAGCCTTGTACAAAGTTTATATCACACTTTTGTGGGTAAAATTTTTTACCCAAATCTTCATAAGCCTGATTGGGTAAGTAGAGGCTAAAAATGCCAACCTAGGTATTCCTTCTTGCTCAGGTTATACAAAATATGCATTTTTATGATTTTAAGAAACTAGTGCCAGGCATGGTGGCTCCTGCATGTAATCCCAGCACTTTGGGAGGCCAAGGTAGGCAGATCACTTGAGCCCAGGAGTTCGAGACCAACCTGGACAACATGGCAAAACCCTGTCTCTACAAAAAATAAAAAAATTAACTCGGTGCTGTGGTGTGTGCCTGTGGTCCCAGTTACTCAGGAAGCTGAGGTGGGAGGATTGCTTGAGCTGGGGAGGTGGAGGGTGCAGTGAGTCAAGATCACACAACTGCACTCCAGCCTGGATGACAGAATGAGACCCTGTCTCAAAACACACACACATACACACACACACATACACACACACACACACACACACACACACACAAACCCAAAAAATTATTCATATATTTATACTGCTTAGAAACTACTCAGATTTAAGGTAGAACCCCATTCACTTGGAGTCTATGTGATCTTGTACTCCCAAAAGGCTATGAAATTGAGGGAAACCCCAGATGATTCATGCCTGCTTGGCTGCAGTATGCCAGTTGCAGTAGGTGGAACCCCAAACCCAGTGCAAAGTGCTAGTGTCTGCTTTGGTGAGATAAGAGTGTTGAGTGTGGAACCAAGCAACCCATTGAAAGCCTGTGACACTCCTGGCCACAGGTGGCTGGTAGAGACATAGTAGACTATTGCCCAGGTGACGTGACTTCACAGAGGCTGGGAAGCCTGCTGCTCCATCCAATACAACACTGCCCACTGCCTGTGCCTAGAAACCAGATTTCAAAGTTAGAGCTTCATTTTGACCATGAGTGCAATTTCACTGCAATATTTTATCCTACTCAACTGCCAGGGTCAATTTAGGTGGTAGGGCTAAATCTCCTTCTTTATATTGTTCCAAATGATTTTTCCTGATGCTGCATTCCTGGAAGGAGGAAGTATGAGAGTAGGCAGCACTTCTCCCTGAGGAGCCTCCAACTAGCTAAAGCTATAATCCTTGTCATACACAGGGGAGAGTGGACACCCATATTGTTAGTTACTGTGACTTAGCACTCTCTTGAGAGCAGGTTTTAGGATTGGGGAGCAAGAGAGACTGCACTAAGACCCTGGTAGGGCAGATCTGGGATGCTAAAAACAAATATAATGCATACCACAGTTCCCTGGAGAGCCCCAGACGCCCTGTTTGGCTCCATGTGCTGATGGGGGTGGGTGCAGAAACTTGTAAAGAATTCCCAGAACAGAATAGGAGCACATACTTGCTTACAAGTACTTCTGACCATATGTCATCATGATATTCATGGTGTACCCATTTATAGCAATATGTGAAGCTAGTGGTAAAAGAATAGAGATCTCAGGGATGTTAATTGCTAAGAACCAGATAGATTGTAATAAAATCCCAAAGTTGTTTTATTTCAGCCCAAATTTTCCAGAATAATAAATACCCATGGGCAAACATTGACACTGATCTCTCACCCTGAAGGTCGTTTGGAGTGAGAACTGGTCATGCCCAAGAAGAACCCGAGTCCTCTCCAGATTCTTAAGAATAACCCCAGGGTTTCAGGCTGCAGGCCAAAGAGGGTCTCTCAGGTTGCAGAACCATCTAGCATTCTCCTCCTGAGAGGAAAACACTTGGGAAAGAGGAACATTATTAGGGACCCTGAGCAGTATTTTGACCCAGCTTAAAAAAAAAAAAAAAAAAAATTGTAATTGTTAATTAGGTTGTTGATTTGTTCTTTACCAAAGAAATTGTCATGTAATGAGAAAATCATGTGAAGATTCTCAAACGTTCTTCTCTCTAATATCACCCGGTTAAAGAATGTTGGCTGTGTGCTGGAAACCACAGGTGACTTGAGTCTAAATTCTGGAGGGGGGGCCACATCCTGAGGGGTGGCTGCAGCTCTCAGAGCACTTGTGTGTGGGACAGAGCTGACATCTAGCGACTCTCCCCAGAGGGTGAGGGCTGCTGCCTACTCTTGTTTATCTTGTTGGGATGAATGTCAGAGCTGGAAGGGAGATCTCTTGGCAAGCTGTGGTTGCCGCCCTTCGCTTCCAGCTTATCTCAGCAGGCTCAGGGCTTGTCCTGTTTACGAGGCCAACTGTATTCTATTCGCAGTTAAACAACTGAATTGTGAATTCTGCTTAAGCACCAATGTGCAGCTCCTGCAACCGTGATGCAGCCTCACCCGGACCTTTCAACATTTTCCCTTTCACCTAGAACTGTTAGATTAAATACAGGACACCCAGTTACATTTGAATTTCAGATAAACAAGCATAACTTTTTAGTGTAAGTACATCCCAAGTGCTTCATGGTATGTATTATACTAAATAATTATTTATCTGAAATTCAAATGTAACTGGGTGTCCTGTATTTTTCTTTGCTAAGACTGGTTACCCTACTTTCATTTTCCTTTCACCCTTCTTAGTTCTTTTGGGCCTTTTAGGAATTTGGGATGATTCAGGCTCTGACAGGCTTGGTACTAGATTTATTTTAGGCTGCTCTTTTGCTGTTGTCCAATAAGCCAAGGAGAGATTTAAATTATGTATCCAATATTTGCTAAATAGTCAAGTGTTTCATTTATCCCATATATAGTTCAGCCTTAATATTGTTTTTGTTTTGATTTGTTACACTAGTGCATACATAGAGATGTGAAGCCAGAAAATATCCTCATCACAAAACATTCTGTGATTAAGCTTTGTGACTTTGGATTTGCTCGGCTTTTGAGTGAGTATTGACATTTTCTTTTGTTAAGTATAAAAGATGGAAAAGTTCTTGATACAATAAAGGATCTAAATGCTCTAGAAGTATACAAGCTAGTACTTGTATATTTAGGGCATAAGCATGCTATAAATTATAATTTTGTAATTACTGAAAACGTGTAGATACATACAGTGGTTTACATATGTATGCTCTCCATAAATTATACCACAGTAAAGCGGTTATTAAAAAGTATCTTACCTCCCTGATTTCTACCATTTCTTGCTAAAATAATACTTTTCAGAAGTGCTACTTTAGAATAGCGGCTTTCAACCTTGGAGGCAGATTAGAATCACCTGGGGGAACTTTTTTTTTTTTTTTGAGACAGGGTCTCACTCTGATGCCCAGGCTGGAGTGCAGTGGCACAGTTCACAGCCCACCACAGCCTTGACCTCCCCAGTTCAGGTGATCCTCCCACCTCAGCCTCCTGAATAGCTGGGACTACAGGCATGAGGCACCACACCTGGCTAAGTTTTGAATTTTTTTTGTAGAGACAGGGTTTCACCATGTTGCCCAGGCTGGTCTCGAACTCCTGGGCCCAAGCAATCCACCTACCTCAGCCTCCCAAAGTGCTGGGATTACAAGCGTGAGCTGCCGTGCCCAGGGGACTTTAAATTCTATGCCCAATAACCCCCCAGACCCTCCCCAGGGATTGTGTTTTAACTGGACTGAAGTGTGGCTTGAGCATCAGTAATTTAAAAATATATATATATTTAAGTGATTTGAATGTGCAACTAGAATTGAGAACCAACGATATAGAATAAGGCCACAAGATTGGGCGCAGGCTTGACGTCTGAGATCACCCTCTCCCAGTTTTGATGCCAGCCTTCCGCTGCTCTTTGTTTTCCATGTTCCATCACCGGCCAGCTGGACCGAGTGACTACTATACAGACTACGTGGCTACCAGGTGGTACCGCTCCCCTGAGCTGCTGGTGGGGGACACGCAGTACGGCCCCCCAGTGGATGTTTGGGCAATTGGCTGTGTCTTTGCTGAGCTGCTATCAGGAGTGCCTCTGTGGCCAGGAAAATCGGATGTGGATCAACTCTATCTGATTAGGAAGACCTTGGGTAAGTGGTGTTTTCGTCCTGCCTTTTGGAAAACTGGGTATTTCCCCAGGTTGGGGCAGGGCAGAGCCAAGTTCCCTGTCTCACCTAATGCCCTTTAAGGCATTAGTTAGGAAAGAGGAAAACTGGAAGCCTCATTTAAATGACTCCATTAAAGGTGGCCATATTTGTTTTAATTAAAATAGTTAACAATTATTGAGTACTTACTCATTGTCCAAAAAAAACCCAAGATTCTTGAGCAGTTTGGATCACGTTAAAATGTTAATAATGACAATAACAACAATACAAACTCACATTTCTGTAAGGGCTTAGCAGTTTACAGAACGCTTTCATGGTTTACCTCATTTATGACAATTTGTGTCATTCATTTGGATGTCCTTAACCCCAGCCTGCCTGACTAGTTTGGATTATTCAGACTCTACGGAGGATGATTCCCAACCTTCTAAGTGTCAGGAGGAAAGCTAGTGCTAATGTCACGCAGCCTGTCTTGCTTTCCGGCCCCAGTGCCCTTTCCTTTCTCTCTAACCTCGGAGGCGGAGGGGAAGGGCAGGGGAGGAGAAGGGAGGGAAGGTGAGAGAAAAAAAAAAAACATCAGTATTGATTGTCCTCTTCCAAAGTCAGGGAGTTTAGACATAAACTCCTCTGACTCCCCTGAGTATCCCAGTTTAAAGTAAACTTTTCCTCCTCTAAACTCTTGTAGCAACTGCCATCGCCATGCCTTCCCTTGTAATCTTATCTTCCCAAAGATACTGTAAACTTCCTGATGGTGAGATCATGTCTTATATTTCTACTTATCCTCCACTAGTGTCTGCACATTGTAGGCAATAAATGTTTGTTGAGAGCTTGACTTGGTCGAGTGACATGGAAGGTGCTTTGTAGGCCTTCCAGGGGCACTCAGCCTTTCTTGGCTGTGTTTCCTCTAGTGATTTTAGGACAGCCTTCCCATGTCACCTCTCTGGCACTGGAGGAAGAAGGTTATTAAGGTGCAAGGAATTGTGCTCATGATGCAGCTCACTGAGATCTGGGGCAAGGCATTAGAGGGTGTGCTTTTTGGTTGCTCACCCAAAATGAGGTGAGGCAGCAGTTTTTGCATTTGAGTGCGAGGTAAATTTCTAGGATGCATCAGTAATTAGATAATTTGATACCCCAGAGTAGGAACTCCCACAGTGCCCGGGAAATGGGCCTGGTTGTGCCCCAGGAGAACACTTTGAGTATCTCTCTATATTCTCTGAACAAAATCCCTCTTCAAGTATAATATCGAATTTTACATAAAGGCGATTTTAGCTGATGTGATGGAAATGTGGGCAGGAGGAGCTTCCTAGAGTCCCCTGAAATATAGAAATACTCTTTTTGTTTCATTGTGTCACATTGTAAGTGCCTCTAAACAGTAGATGAAATGGCACTTCCAAGTGATCGCTAATTGGTGAAATAAGAAAAGATGGTCCCAAATGTGAAAATGTACTCCTTCTAGCTAGAAAATCCATGATTTCTTCCCTCCTTTCCTTCCCCTCCCCTCCCTCCCTCCCTTCCTCCCTCCCTCCCTCCCTCCCTTCCTACCTTTCTTTCTTCCCTCTCTTCCTTCTTCAAATATTTATTGAATGCTTGCTATATGTTAGACACTGTTATAAGTGCTAGGGCAATAACATTTTATCTTGACCTATCAGGATTCAGTTAATAGGATTTTGATTTGTGGTTGTTTCCCTTTTGCTGTTTTTTAAAAGGCATTATTTTATTTGTGTGTATGTTCTTCTGAGTTGTTTGGTTTGGATTCCTTCAGTACACTGTAGGCTCTGAGAACAAGAACCTGAGAGCAAGAAGCTGTAGCCCTCAGTTTCTGTTGCTTGCCTCCTCTGTGCCTAACACAGTGTGCTGTCCACTGTAGGGACTGATACAGGTTGCTGTGGGTTTCCTGAATGCCTCTCCTTCTGATTGCCCAAGAACACTGCAGTGTCCATAGACATGGGCAAGACCAACACAGCATTGATGGAAGAAAACCATAGATCAGTGTTTGCTAACCAATTTCACTTACCCTTTTTTTTTTTCTCTTGTCCAAAGGGGATCTCATTCCTAGGCACCAGCAAGTGTTTAGCATGAATCAGTACTTCAGTGGAGTGAAAATTCCAGACCCTGAAGATATGGTGAGTGACCCATTTTGGAGAGAGCTCTGTAGGCCAGGCTAGCTAGGCTTTGGTCGTTATTCACCTCCCTGAGCCCCATGGCTCACCCTGCATTGGAGGTCAGTCTAAGAGAGAAAAAGAAAATTGGAGCAAACTGGCTAGCGAGACTTTAGCCTTAATGCAAATTTAGAGGCTGTTGATAACAGAGTCCAGCCAGCCTGTTGCACAGGAATACAGAGCTGCCTGCCGGAGCCACACCTGTCCTTTATCATTTTTTAGCAGTTGAACCTAGGTAGCTCAGAGCCAACCAACTTTTAGACCTAGACCTATCCAGATAAAGTTAACTAGTTTTTCCCCAGCATTGTCCAAATTCCCTACTCTACTATGCTTATGGTCTCCAGACCATGGGAAAAATCATAATGAACTTACTTGGGTTGGGCACAATGGTTCACGCCTGTAATCCCAGCACTTTGCGGAGGCCGAGATGGGCAGATCACCTGAGGTCAGGAGTTCCAGACCAGCCTGGCCAACATGGTGAAACCCTGTCTCTACTAAAATTACAAAAATTAGCCGGGCATGGTGGCGCATGCCTGTAATCCCAGCTACTCAGGAGGCTGAGGCAGAACTGCTTGAGCCCAGGAGATGGAGGTTACAGTGAGTTGATACCACACCACTGTACTCCATCCTCGGCGACAGAGCAAGACTCTGTCCAAAAAAAAAAAAAAAAAAAAAAACAACAACTTCCTTAGCCAGTCTTACTCTAGTGCTTGCCCTCTATGGCCAACCCAAATGGGAGAAGCCCATTTTTTAAGAACAGAAAAATTTGAAATGTTTATATCTCTAATCCACTTCCAACAATTTATTCCTGTGAAACCATTATCCAAGAGCATAAAGATGTGGCATTATTTAATAGAAATTATTTCCTTCAGTATGCTATCAGTAGGGGATTAAGTATGGTACATCCTTACAATAGAAATACCTCATCAGGCCAGGTGTGCTCATGCCTGTAATCCTAGCATTTTGGGAGCCTGAGGCAGGTGTATCAGGGGCTCGAGACCAGCATGGGCAACACAGCAAAACTCTGTCTCTACTAAAAATACAAAAAGTTGGACCAGCATGGTGGCACGCACCTGTAGTCTCAGCTACTCAGGAGGCTGAGGTGAGAAGATCACCTGAACTCAGGAAGTTGAGGCTGCAGTGACCTGAGATTGCTGCACTCTCGCCTGGGCGACAGGAGTAAGACCCTGTCTCCAAAAAAAAAAAAAAAAAGAAAGATAAAAAAGAAAAAAAAAATACCATATAGAGTCAGGTGTGGTGTCCCACACCTATAGTTCTAGCAACCCAGGAGACAACTGAGGTGAAAGATGCTTGAGTGCAGGAGGTCAAGACCAGCCTGGGCAACATAGCAAGACCCTGTCTCTACAAAATATTTTTAAAACTAACTGGGGTTGGTTGCACATGCCTATAGCTCCAGCTACTTGGGAGGCTGAGGCAGGAGAATCACTTGAGCCCAGAAGTTTGAGGTTACCATAAACTATGATCATGCCACTGCACTCCAACCTGGGTGACAGAGCAAAACTCTGTCTGTAAAAGTAAGTAATATCATGCAGTGAAAAAAAAAAAAAAAAAGACGGTTAGAAAACAGTGTAGGCTGGGCATGGTGGCTCATGCCTGTAATCCCAGCACTTTGGGAGGCCAAGACAGGTGGATCGCTTGAGCCCAGGAGTTTGAGACCAGCCTGGGCAACATGATGAAACCCCGTCTCTACTAAAAATACAAAAATTAGCCAGGCACGGTGGCACACATCTGTAGTCCCAGCTACTTGGGAGGCTGAGGTGGGAAGATGGCTTGACCTTGGGAGGTAGAGGTTGCAGTGAGCTGAGATCATGTCACTGTACTCCAGCCTGGGCAACAGGGCCAGATTCTGTTTCAAAACAAAAACAAAAACAAAACAAACAAAAAAAAAGTATGTGTAATTTGACCAAGTTTTAATAAATATGTAATATGTACACAATGCATATATATATATATTTATTTATATATATAAATACACAATAATATAACATCATCTGGGAAATCACAAGCTCTTTTTTGACATTTGTGAAATAAATGGCTGCAAGGATATGTATCAAAATACTAACAGCAGGTATCTCTTTTGGGTGGGATTTTGGGGTAACTTTATGATTTTTTATATTTTTGAGTGTCTTCTAATGAGTCTGTATTACAATCAAAAACATTTCAGAGCATAATTAAGGTTTGTGAAATCTTGAGTTTCCACTGTCTGAGGAAGGTATCTTAAAAATGAAACTAACTCTCCAGTTGCTCACTAAACCCTTCAGTTTCCAGATGGAAGTTCTGTCTCTACCACTTGTGTTTTGTTTGTTCCCTAACCTCTTGGCTTGTCCCACAGTGAAGGTTTCTGCATCTTCATTGCCTCTTCCTCCTGCAGCACTAGCATTCAAAGTGGGTCTTGCTGGGACGGAGGGGCAGGAATGACACCTGACATATGGGAGGTGACCCATCTGGCTTCCTTGTGGTCTGGACATTCCCAGTTCTGCACTAAATATCCTTAGTGATTTCCTGTTCACTTGTCTGTTGGTGAAGCCTCAGAAGTAACCCAGGTTTCATAAACGTAGAAAGCTTCCCATGGTTTCCCAGAGATTGTCCTGCAGATTTCCTGTTGACAGAAACACAGGAAGAAGCAGTGCGGGGGCTGCACTGGTTGAACATCTGTGCCCCAGTCTGTCTGCCTGTCAGTAACCCTGACAGAGGGAGGCCTGCTTGCTTCTGGGGCTGGGAAACTAGCTCAGCCGGGAGGATGGGCTCCAGCGTATCACAGGCAACCAGTCATCCTCATCCAGACATTGTTGCTGGGACAGCAGAGCTCGATGATATAGCAATGGCACGTCAATCCCCTGTGATGCTCAGATTCAACCGACAGAAAGAACAAGAGAATTTAAGCTATGGAGCATGAGTGGGAGTATGGGGGTGCAACAGGGAATACTGTCAAGGGCTAATACAAATCTACTTTAGAATTTTTTTTTTCTCCTGTTGAACATAGGGAACTCTAAAACAGAGACTCTTCTCTCCTACTCTTATCAATGTGTACAATCCAGAATTGGTTATTGGGAGCTGGTTCCTTGTCCAAAATAATACTGTACTGTGAAGGCTGGCCACGGCACCAGGACTGTGTTTGATTAGATGAGCCTGGCCAGTCACTCCAGCCGGCAGCTCACACACTGCCACTTTTATACACACAATGCACTGCAGTCATTTATTTTGCTCAGCTTGGCTGGCTCTTATTTTCTCAGCCTCTCTGCTCAATTAGCCTTTGTCAGTGGTACCGCTCTTTAACTGGCCTGTTTGTCTGCCTGACATTCGGCATTCCTCCCATTTATAGTGTTATTCCTGATTGTCTCCAGCACATGACTGGAGCAAAATAGCCTTACATGGCCAAAAGGAGATTGATAAATGCCCCACAGGAGACTCTTTAAACAGTAGGCTGATAAGGGAAGCAGCAGGCTCTAGTGGGAGACAACGGTGTTTATACCAGAAAATCAAGAAGCATCTGTTCACCTGGGTAGGGGAAAAACATCTATTTTACAGCTCCCTTTATATAATTAGAGCTGCTTTTTTTGTTTTGTTTTGTTTTTTAAGGCAGGGTCTTGCTCTGTTGCCCATGTTGGAGTGCTGTGGCACATTTATGGCTTACTGCAGCCTCAATCTCCCAAACTCACGCCATCCTCCCACCTCAGCCTCTCAAGTAGCTGGGACTACAGGAGCACACCACCACTTCTGGCTAGTTTGTTGGTATATTTTTTTTTAATAGAGACAGGGTTTCATGTTGCCCAGGCTGGTCTCAAATTCCTGGGCTCAAGCCATCAGACTTGGCCTCCCTGAGTGGATTATAGGCATGAGCCACTGTACCCAGCCGGCTGCCTTTTTATAAACGCCACTATAAATGCCAAAAATTATTCTCAGGAAAGACAAGTTATATAAATTGAGGCCAAAAAAAAAAGAAAAAGAAAAAAGCTGCTCAGAAAGTTTTTTGTTTTTCATTAGTATTTTTATTTATAATTTGCTAAGTGAAACGAGTGGTTAGGAAGCAAATTTGAAAAAGCATTTTGGAGATGGGGAGAGAAAGCTTGTGAAAAAGGCAAAGGGAGATTGTTTTAGGCAGGAGGTGGGGTGGACAAAGGGTGGAGGAGGTGAGGAAGGTGCTGGGAAAATGTTTCTATCGAAAGATTTAATTTGAGGTAACCTTAATTTGAATACATGCTGTAAATTAAAAATCTCTTTTCTTTTCAACAGGAACCACTTGAATTGAAATTCCCAAACATCTCTTATCCTGCTCTGGGGCTCTTAAAGGTAAAATCGTGGCTTCCAACAGACCAGGAAGCACACAGCAGTTGTCATCAATTGGGGAATCTGAATTACTTATGTCAATTCATGCAATGAAAAGTGTTCCTTTTAGAATTCTCCTGGCTGTGCGGTGGCTCACACCTGTAATCCTAGCACTTTGGGAGGCCGAGGCAGGCGGATCACTTGAGGTCAGGAGTTCAAAACCAGCCTGGTCAACATGGTGAAACCCCGTCTCTACCAAAAATAAAAAAAATTAGTTGGGCATGGTGGCACTTGCCTGTAATGTCAGCTACTTGGGAGGCTGAGGCAGGAGAATCGCTTGAGCCCGGGGAAGCAGAGGTTGCAGTGAGTCGAGATTGCACAACTGCACTCTAGCCTGGGCAACAGAGCAAGACACTGTCTGAAAAAAAAAAAAACCAAAAAAATTATCCTTGGAAAAATATATTTTCAACTTTTAAAATGGATCACATTCTATTAAGTGAAAACATTTGCAAGTATTTTTCACTTTAAATAAACCTAACATTATATTTGAAGTCTAAATTTACACAAAACAGAAATTTCAGAGGGGTGGTGATAGTTTTACAAAGGGAACCTTTTCTTCAGAAAATGCTTAGCTGTAGGATCCTTTTAAATAGCTAACTCCCTGGTACATTTGAAGTACATTTAAAAACTTGATTTTTATATATATATATATTTAGAAATATAGCTCTTATGTAAAATGAGGTATGGTATCAACTAAAATGTTTGCAAGTTACAGTCAATGTCCCACATAGTTTAAAAATTATTTATTTACTAATGTATTAAATAATGAGTTAATATAAATGATAACTGTTACCTGAAAGGGTCCCAATCCAGACCCCAAGAGAGGTTTCTTGGACCTCGCACAAGAAAGAATTCAGGGCGTGTCCACACAGCAAAGTGGAAGCAAATTTATTAACAAAGTAAAGGAATAAAAGAATGGCTACTCTATAGGCAGAGCAGTGCTATGTCCTGCTCAACTGAGTATTCTTAGTTATTTCTTGATTATATGCTAAACAAGAGGTGGATTATTCATGAGTTTTCCAGGAGAGGGGCAGGGATTTTCTGGATCTGAGGGTTCCTCCCCTTTTTAGACTATTTAGGGTAACTTCTGGGCATTGCTATGGTATTTGTAGACTGTCATGGTGCTGGTGAAAGTGTCTTTTAGCATGCTAACACATTATAATTAGTGTATAATGAGCAGTGAGGACAACCAGATGTCACTTTCATCGCCATCTTGGTTTTGGCCGGCTTCTTTACTGCATCCTGTTTTATCATCAGGTCATTGTGACCTGTATTTTGTGCCGACCTGCTATCTCATCCTGTGAGTAAGAATGCCAGACCTCCTGGGAATGCAGCCCAGTAGGTGTCAGCCTTATTTTACCCAGCCCCTATTCAAGATGGAGTTGCTCTGGTTTCAACAGCTCTGACATAACCAACAAAAATTGAGTCAATTCTTTGGAGTATGTAGTTGTGAAATTTAATCTATCCAAGAATGAGCTCCATGGCCTACTTAGTGGCAACAAAAATAGTTAAGAATGATATAATATAAAGGCATGTACATTATGCTTCTCCTTACATACATGCTCATATATACTTATAATGCATAAACTATTTCTGGAGGGATACACCAAAAAAAACCAAAAAAAAAAACAAAAAAAAGAGTAGCTGATTTTAGAAGGGTGAATGGAACACCTAGAGTGGTGGAGACTTTGCTGTATGAATTGTATTTGCTATCATGTGTAAATATCATTTTTAACATAAAAACACTAGTTTTTACAAAGTACATGCAAGGGACCAAACTAGCTAAATGGATTACCCCATTTGGCCACTGAGGTAAACTCTAAAATTATATCTTACTCTCCCAGGGCAGAGTATCAATTGCCTCAAGAACAGAATAAGGTAGAGAAAATTATTTTTCATTACTACTTCTAGAAACTGTTTAATATGTGAGTGCCCATTTAGGAATGACTGGAAAGAACTAAAATCATGACTGGTGTGTTTTCCTGGCTTTTCCCCCTTCTTACTGCAACTGAAGAGTTTCATCTTTCAAAGAAGAAAAAAAAAAAATGACATTAGTAAGTTAATACAATTTTAAAGAAGTAAGAAGAAGGAATTTTCTGTTCTTTTAGGGCTGTCTCCACATGGACCCTACTGAGAGACTGACATGTGAACAGCTGTTGCATCACCCATATTTTGAAAACATCAGAGAAATAGAGGATGTGGCAAAAGAACATGACAAACCAACAAGGAAGACCCGAAGAAAGAGCCGAAAGCACCACTGCTTTACAGAAACATCCAAGGTTGTAATTTCAAATGATCTCCTACCTGCCACCTGGTACACAGTGGTACGACTCCACCTAGACTTGAGGATGGCAGTTGTGGCTTTCAGCTCCAGCATCCTCATTCCAGCACTAGGAGACAGGTCACAGGGTCTATCAGCCAGGGCCCCAGGGTTATCTGTCTCCTGAAACCCCCTCTCCCTGAATCCTAAAGGTGCTCTTGTCCTGCTGTTTCCTGCTGCCACACAGGGGCCAGGGTTTCCAGCCTGCATGAGTACAGGTCTCAACAAGGTACATGAGTATGAGTCCAGCTGAGCACACTTCTTGTGCTTTGGAAAATGAAATCAGATTTTCCCCAGGCAGTTCTGTGTCATCATGTACACCTTCAGTATTAACTAACACTCCAGGTTTGTCCAAAAAAGGAGCATTTTCCTCCCTGATCCTTTGTCAGAGTTGGCTAGGGCAAATACAGTGATGAGTGCTTTTGGTGATATCTGCTGAAAACATTTAACCAGAGAACAGCATCCAAACTGCACACTGGGAGTCTGTGAAGAATCCCGATTGGTATAAAATGGCCTTATATTAAGCATCTTGTGATAAGCCAAAAGCTGTAATAATTTAGAATGAACTGTAGTTGGAACCACAACTGATCCTGGGTAACCTCTGGATCTACCTAGGTACTCCTTAAGCTATACATTATCTTGCCTTTGTCCTTCCCTTTGCAGCTTCCACTGCCCAGCATGCTGAATGGTACCAGGGTGTTGTGTGTGAGGCTGAGAGGAGGGAAAAGGGTGAAGAGTCCATGAGGAACAAGTACAACATGAACTCCAGGGCCCTAATGTAGATCACAGTTACAAAATTAATAATGTTTTAATTTTATTCTCCATCATGTATGATCCAGGTGGCAAAACAGGCCAGAAAGACTCCTCTACCCCCACCCCCGAATTATTCCTTATCTCAGTATTACTTTGTATTCAAGAGCAAAAGGTTTTGATGGAAATATTTCTACTTGAAAAAATAGGGAAACTCCACTATTTAGTATATTGCTTTTTTTTTTGAGACCGAGTCTCACTCTGTCACCCAGGCTAGAGTGTAGTGGTGTGATCTTGGCTCACTGCAACCTCTGCTTCCTGGGTTCAAGCGTTTCTCCTGCCTCAGCCTCCCCAGTATCTGGGATTACAGGCACGCGCCAATATGCCCAACTAATTTCTATATTTTTAGTAGAGACGGGGTTTTGCCATGTTGGCAGGCTGGTCTCGACTCCTGACCTCAGGTGATCCATCCGCCTTGGCCTCCCAAAGTGCTGGGATTACAGGCATGAGCCACCACACCTGGCCTGGTGTACTGCTTTTAAATCCTGAAAGAATCAACTGATTTAAAAGTACTAAAAAGTACTTTTCTGAGGAGAATGCCTGAAAAATTTTTTTCTAAAAAGTAAAAGTACTAAAAAGTTCCTTTTTAGGGATACCTAAGGACATATAGTGCAATACAAAAAATACAGGTGTGTTCTGACTTTCATTTGACATTGACAATAAATTCAAACATTTTCAGGAAGCTTGAAGGAAGCAGTTTTGTCTTTTTTCTTTAGAGATGGGGGTCTTGTTATGTTGCTCAGGCTGGTCTCCCGGGCTCAACGGATCCTCCCACCTCAGCCTCTTTCGTAGCTGGAACTACAAGTGTGCACTGTGCCATGCTTGATTTGCCTTTTTAACTAAGGAAAGAGAGTAAGTAGGCAAATTGCCTAGGTGCTCTGCTTATCAGTTTTCTCTGCCATAAGACCAGGCATTGGCTTAAATGATCCCTAAGATCTCAGCAAGCTCTCAACTCCTGTAAATCTATGTTTTCTTCCCAATAATGTTAACATGTAGATTCTCCCCTTTTCATATTCTCTAAATCTTCTTTAATGTGCATGTTTTCCTTTTTAATATAAAATAAACATTTAAAAAGAAAATCAAAGACCAAATTGAAACATTTAATCCTCTCTCAAGTCCTGGATTCTTTGCCAAAAAAGTATTTCTATACTAAAAAGCTTAATTACCTCTTTTGTGATATATTCTAAATAATGAAAACAAACAAACAAACAAAAAAAAGCATGGCACAGTTTTGAACCTAATTCTGTGTTTTGCATTTTCAGTTGCAGTACCTACCCCAGCTAACCGGCAGCAGCATCCTTCCAGCTTTGGACAATAAGAAGTACTACTGTAATACCAAGAAACTTAACTACCGTTTTCCAGACATTTAAAGGAGCTAGGAGACATGATTTTTAAAAAGGAATCAATAGATACTTTGAAGAAAATAAAACTTAGACAGTTGATCGAAAACAATTACAATGTTGAAAACACACCAGGAGAAAACATAAGCAAGAAACTGGGAGGCCAATTGGCAAGATATGAAGGGAAATTCCAGATCCAGTCTTCCATGCTTGATGATGGTGTCCAGAAAAGAAAGAAAAAACCTGTTTGGAGTTGCACTTGTATTTCAGTTCATGTAAGCAGCCGAGCTTATGGACTGAATATGAACTGTCCCATACCTCTGGCAAAATTAGATGATACCAAAAAGATTTATGCTTCAGTTGTACCACATGCCACACAAGAAAAATGGACTACAAAATGCCCATATCTATTTCCTCGGATCTGTTGCTTTGAGTCCTATTTCCTGCCTCTCAGATTGTTTCAGCATCATATTTAAGGAAAGTTCTACTTCTTGAAATCAAAATGTTTAAAATCCCATTTCCTGCTTGCTCTATTTCTTGATTTTTATATTTTAAAATATTTTGAGGGTAACAGGTTCGAAATATTTAAAAGCATACGAATTATCACAAAGACTTGGTAATTTATATATTTAATTATATGTTTATACATTTCATCCTTACTTTATCAGTAAAGGATGCACCTTAGTCACTTTTGCAGGCAAGATGAATTTACTGTAATCTGTCTACATTTATTCACCCAATTCCCCTTGCAAACCATGGCATGAAGCCTGGCAGCTGATTAAGGCAGTCAAAGGGTAGAGCAAGATCTACAGGCTTTGCAGAAACTGAACCTGTCAGCCTGAAATTAATTAGTACATCATTCTCTCTGGCACAGCCTTTGACCTGGTACATCTATAGGCAAACCTGTAATACAGTGATCTGGGTTTCAGAAGAAATTGCTTGCGAGCTTTTCCTTGAGTCATGAAAGACATTATGTTGTAAACTGATGTTTTCCCTGAAACATCTTTTTGCACTATGTTTGTATGTTTTGTATGTTTATGTATGTGTGTGTATGTGTATATAGTGTGTGTGTGTGTATATATATATATGCTATTCTAACAACTAATGTATTACACTAAGTAGTCCAAAGTATTATTGAGGACTCATAGCCTTGCACAGTGAGACTTAAAATGATGACATATATATATGTCGATCCTCCCACCTCAGCCTCCCAAGTAGCTGGGACTACAGGCATGTGCCACTATACCTGGCTAATTTTTTTGTATTTTTTGGTAGAGGCAGGGTTTTGCCATGTTCCCCAGGCTGGTCATGAACTCCTGGGCTCACATGATCTGAGCGCCTCGGCCTTCCAAAGTGCTGGCATTACAGGCATGAGCCACTGTGCCTGGCCAAAATGACATAATTAGCTTTGATTTGGTCTACTGCTCTTAATCAAAAAGCTTTTTCATCCTTGTTCCCCCGACACAAGGGCAATATGAAGCCTGACATCTGTTTCTTACAGCTCAACACCATTTCTGGTTGATGTGCTACCACTATTCCTAGCACTTCTCAGCCATGGTCTTCGAAGTTGTATTTCACTCTATTTTCAAAACAATTCTTCTGTACTCTTATTTTCTTCCTGTTAATTTTCTTCACGATGACATCTGACCCCATTTACTTAAGTAATCCACTGAGGTCTGGTGTGTGTTCAATAATTTTGACTCTAGGCAGTTTAATGATATCCTAAGGCTTCCTAATGTATGTCATTTCTTGTCTAGACCTGATATGGGTTAAATGCTAGTCCCTGAATTATTCAATTCCTGTTAGACAGCCTTGATTCAAATGACAAGGAAGAACATCCAGCTTCCATGAATAGTTAAAATTTCTTTTTTCCTTAACCCAAGAAAATGCACTTGACGGAGGCAGATTACTATAACTGCCTAATAATTCAGCAAATAGTTTTACCAAAAACCATTCAGAATAGAAAAGTAGTTCTAGACTAAATCGTGGTGAATCAGTTGTCTCACCATACAGTAATGAAACAAACCTGAGAAAAAGAGGCTTATTTTTCTCTAATGAGTTCCATTACATTTATGCTTATGTTCAATTTAACTATATTTATAATCCTTTTATTCAGCATGAAATCTCCACTGTATCACATGAGACTCTTCCACATCCTTTTATTTACTATTTTCTGATTTTTAAAATGACAGCGGCAATTACCATTTATACTATGTGTTATTTGTATAAGCTGGTTTTTAAATACAATGAAAATTCATTTTTCTACCTGAAAACTGTATCATAGAAAGTGTTTATTTGAAAATTATTTTCAAGTTTATATTCAACAGCTCAATAATGTTCAAACCAGGCTGGGCACAGTGGCTCACGCTTATAATCCCAGCACTTTGAGAGGCTGAGGCGGGTGGATCCTGAGGTTAGGAGTTCAAGACCAGTCTGGCCAAGATGGTGAAACCCTGTCTCTACTAAAAATACAAAAATTAGCTGGGTGTGGTAGCAGGTGCCTGTAATCCCAGCTACCTGGGAGGCTAAGGCAGATAACTGCTTGAACCCGGGAGGCAGAGGTTGCAGTGAGCTGAGATCACACCACTGCACTCCAGCCTGGGCAATAGAGTGAGAGTCTGTCTCAAAAAAAAAAAAGTTCAAATCAAACACACAGAAATCTATAAACAAACTGGCATATAACAGTAATAGAATCAGGGCCATTTCACAGAGGTAACAATAAAGACCTGTTTTATCTATTTTTGACCTTTTTTTTTTTTTTTTTTTTTTTTTGAGACAGGGTCTTAATCTGTTGCCCAGGCTGGAGTGCTGGAGTGCAGTGGTACCAACATGGCTCACTGCAGCCTTCACTTCCCAGGCTCAAATGATCCTCTTACCTCAGACTCCTGAGTAGTTGAGACTACAGGAATGTGCCACTATACCCAGCTATTTATTTTTTAATTTTTTGGTAGAGACAGGGTTTTGCCACGTTGCCCAGGCTCATCCTGAACTCCTGGACTCAAATGATCTGCCTGTCTTGGCCTTCAAAAGTGCTGGGATTACAGGCCAGCCTTTTTTTTTTTTTTTTTTTTTAAAGAGACAGGGTCTCTGTCTTTCACCCAGGCTACCACACTGGTGTTCAGTGGCCGTGATCATAGCTTACTGCAGCCTCAAACTCCTAAGCTCAAGCGATCCTACCACCTCAACCTCCCAAGTATCTGAGATTACAGGTGTACACCACCACGCCTGGCTAATTTTTAAAATTTTTTATAGAGATAGGGTCTTGCTATGTTGCCCAAATTGGTCTCAAACTCCTGGTCTCAAGTGATCCTCCCACCTCAGCCTCCCAAAGCACTGGGATTACAGGCATGAGCTACGACACCCAGCCTAAAGCAGTTTTAAGTTTTAAGAAAAACCTAAGCATAGCCTACTGGTTTTTATTATTGTTTTCTTTATTATATTGCAATCTGCAAAACTATTTGTATTCAGCCAAGTATCTGTCCAGTTTTAATAAAATAGTAGCCTAAGCTTACAAAATAGACAAATTAAGCAGCAACTGTTGATTCTGAGAAAGTCTGTATGCTATCAAGAACACAAGAATGCAGGATCATGGGAAATGCATGCAAATCCTGGGAAGCAATATGAAATGCATGCTTCAACAACCATTGACCACTATGCATAATTGACGCCATCAATGAATCTGTAATTTAGATTCTAATTTTTCATAATTGTGCATTTATGGTAGTATGCTTCACTAACTTTAAAGTTAAATTTAATGTAAATTACTAATAAAAACATCTGTTGTACAAATAACTTTAAAGGATTCTAAATAAATATCTACATCAAGAGATATCTATAGATTTACATATTAAATGAATATATTAGAATTAAAATGTTACCTAGTTTGCATTTTTTTTTTTCTTTTTTTTTTGAGACAGAGTCTCGCTCTGTCGCCCAGGATGGAGTGCAGTGGCGCAATCGCGGGTCACTGCAACCTCCACCTCCCAAGTCAAGTGATTATCCTGCCTCAGCCTCCAGAGTAGCTGGGATTACAGGCGTGGACCACCACACCCAGCTAATTTTGTATTTTTAGTAGAGACGGGGTTTCACCATGTTGGCCATGGTTAGTCTCGAACTCCTGACCTCAGGTGATCTGCCCACTTTGGCCTCTCAAAGTGCTGGGATTATGGGCATGAGCCACCGCGCCTGGCTGCACTTTTCTTAAAATGAATTAATGTACATAAATTCTCACTTCCAACTTAGTAACTTTAGTGAGTCATGTCTGAATATTCATTTTCTAAATATGATGCACTCTCCACTTCTAAAATGTCATGATATGGCATCCTTATAATTCTACTGATGACTATATAATATTAGTTGATGTTTAGAATCAACAGTTTCAAATGATCCTTTATACTGAAATAAAACACATTATTTTACTTCAATTGTAATTTTAGTTCCAGAGAGGGCAGTGCTGTCTCAAAGACTTGGATAAGATTTTCTTTTTCTCTTACTCCAGGAAGATCACTTAACAACAAATATTTGAGGTTTCTGCAAATAAAGAAAAAAGTCACTTCAATTTAGCCAAGAGCATTAAAAATAAACTCAATTTACTGGCTTAAAGAAAGAAAATTACATAGAAAATTAATCTATATCACCCTATGCTTTCAAAATGACTTTTAGAGCAGTAGCCTTAGAGATGAAATTCATGCCAGGAAGTAACACAGACTTTAGGTTATGTCAATATTTCCAGCTGAATCATTCTAAATAAAATATATATTTATAATGATGTAGATATCCTTTGCATGTGAAACATGAAATGTGAATCTCAACCTCAAAAGAGCAAAAACTGGGAAAATTCTTAAAGATACTCGAGTTTCTACTAAAAGATGAAGCTCTGAAGCCTCAAGTAATGTAAGAGATGAACAATCTACTACGTGTGGTCCCAATGTTTAAAATTTGTCAAACTTCCTGTGATACTGAGGTTACTGGCAGATCCATTTTATATTAAATCAGAACTACACTAATTAGATTTATAATTTGAATGTTGGGATCTCTAACACAGAGATTTGATTAAACAAACTTCTATTCTTTTTTCATCACGCTGATAAGACTCAGAACCTTACAATTTTAGAGTTAAACATTCCTTGCTAGTATTATCTGTTTTTGCATTTGGAATTAGGTGAGTTGCTCCAGGCCACGGCATGGGTCTGGTTGGTGGCATGAGAGGACGTAGAACAGCTTTCCTAACCAGTGGATGCGTGCTTTTGATGATTATTATAGTGTCAGGCAGTGTTTTAGGCTCTAAACACAGAAAGGTGAATATTTCAAGGTTTTTTCCCCTCAACCAACATAATTACAGGGTAAAATGCTAAGAGGTATATACCAAATGTCCTGAAAATATCAAAAACATAGGGGAAATTGCTTTAAAAAAAAAAGGAGAGAAAGCATAATCGTTGAGGCTTACTGAGGGCTTACTGTGACAGGCACCATGCTAGGTGCTTAATGTAGATTTAATTTTTAAAAACATATCCTATAAAAAATTCAATAAAACATTAATGTATTAAGATTGATCATTTTAGCTCTTTTAACGTATTACAGATGGAAGTGAGGTCATTTTTTAAAATTATCTTTTTCAGAACTAAAAATAGACACCAGCCCTCACAGTCAAATTCTACCTATTCACCTTAACAGCATTATCAAGTTTCCACTTTGGCTTTGATCATCTACCTTAAATGACGCAAAGCAATGATGCCTTTGTCTGTGACATTCCCACAGGATATTATTTCCATTTCCAATATGCTTTTTTGAAAATTTTCAAGTTGACCAAGTCTCAGCAAACAGTCATCCTCGATATAATGACACTTGCACAGCCTTATTTTTTCAACATGCTGTAGGCCCACTGGGGAGAAAAAGTACAGATTAAGAATCTGCTTTACCACTAAGATAACAAACTGTCCTGGTTTGCCCAGGACTGACTTGGTTTTAGGATTGAAAGTCCTATGTCCTGGGAAACCTCTTAATCCCATGAAAACTGGAATGATTGCTCACCCTATTAGCCATATAAGGAATTCACTACAGAGCTTGTGCTGATGGACGGGGCCATTCTACAGTCAGATGCCCACACACTGGAGGAAAGAAATGCCCACATAGGGCCAGGCCCGGTGGCTCACACCTGTAATCCCAGCACTTTGGGAGTCTGAGGCGGGTGAATCACCTGAGGTCAGGAATTCAAGACCAGCCTGGCCAACATGGCAAAACCCCATCTCTACCAAAAATAGAAAAATCAGCCTGGCGTGGTAGTGCATGTCTGTAGTCCCAGCTACTTGGGAGGCTGAGGCAGGAAAATCACCTGAACCCAGGAGGTAGAGGTTGCAGTGAGCCAAGATCACGCCACTGCACTCTAGCCTTGGCGACTAGCCTTGGTGACAGAGTGAGACTCTGTCTCAAAAAAAAAAAAAGAGGCCAGGTGCGGTGGCTCACGCCTGTAGTCCCAGTACTTTGGGAGGCCAAGGTGGGCGGATCACAAGGTCAAGAGATAGAGACCATCCTGGCTAACACAGTGAAACCCCATTCTCTACTAAAAATACAAAAACAAAATTAGCCGGGCATGGTGGCAGGTGCCTGTAGTCCCAGCTACTCAGGAGGCTGAGGTGGGAGAATGGCATAAACCTGGGAGGTGGAGCTTGCAGTGAGCCGAGATCGTGCCACTGCACTCCAGCCTGGCCAACAGAGCAAGACTCTGTCTCAAAAAAAAAAAAGAAAGAAAAAAAATGCCCACGTAAGCAGAAGCTGTGTGGATATAATTATTCCTGCATTACTGAGGGCTTCTCAATGACAGAAGTTTGACAAAGACAGTTTGACAAACAAGGCCCTGAATTTTAAGTCAATAAACCAAAGACTAGAGACATATAGAAATAAGCTTAGTGAGAGGAGGAAGGAGAGGAAGGTGTCTGTAACCTCAATTTAATTTGAAAATAAATATCAAACCCAGGAAGACATAAACTTGACTGTACTGAAATGGGCAAAAAGGACATACCTATGACTATAATTGTGAGTCAACTGCAACAAAATGGTCACTGCAAAATCATCTGCATTTCCTATTAGCAAAATGATAGGGTAGTTACCCAGGTGATCAAATCCAATGCTCATGATACAAGAGTTGGTGGCGTCAATAGCCTGAATCTTGTATTTGTCGAGAGGGCCTGTTGGAAGGTGGTTGTAATCCGTCTGCCACCTCTCCTGGCCATGGTAGCGCACCATGGCCCCACAGCGCAGCAACCACTCAGATGCCGCCCTGTCAGGGCCAACATCCCTGATGCGATCATAATCCACCCTGTTGGCAAGTGAAAAAAAGCAGTTTGCTTTTACAATAATAACTAGCTTGTTAACTATATTAACTGACATAAATAATACAGAACGCAACAAATTTTCATTGCAAGTGACTGAGGAGGAAGATAAATGCATTAGTGAGATCCATGCAAAAACCAAAACCAAAAACAAAAAAAAACTGTAGTCTATCTGCTTTTTTAGTTTTGTTTTTGCTTCCAAGTGAACACTGTCAATGCGTATTATTTTTATATGAATCTATCAGACACAACTTTTCATTGATTCACATATAGTAGAGTGCTTGACACCAGAGATATTTAGTAACTATTCTACGAATGACTATACTTGGTTAGAATTTGTATTAATAACAAAAGATTAAAGAGAAAATAATTCTGAATCTGTATTAAAATTAATTTCATTAAGTGATATTTATTAATTTCTACATATGCTTTTTTCACAAGCCAGGGATCATAATGCTGTATTAAGTAATCAGAATGAGGTTAGTTTCATCAGCTTCAAAATGCTATTTTTTTTTTCTCTCTTTTTTTTTTTTTTAGATGGACTCTCACACTCTAGCCCAGGCTGGAGTGCAGTGGTGCAATCTCAGCTCACTGCAAGCTCCACCTCCCGGGTTCACGTCACTCTCCTGCCTCAGGCTCCCGAGTAGCTGGGACTACAGGTGCCCACCACCACACCTGGCTAATTTTTTGTATTTTTAGTGGATACAGGGTTTCACGGTGTTAGCCAGGATGGTCTCGATCTCCTGACCTCGTGATCCACCCGCCTCGGCCTCCCAAAGTGCTGGGATTACAGGCGTGAGCCACCGTGCCTGGCTCAAAATGTTATTTCTAAGTGTGCCACCCACTAATTTTGTGAAAACCTGAGTTACTCTGATAGAATTCAAAAGGTTAACTAAATTCCTTTAAAAAGCCATAAAAATAAAATATTTTAAAATTATAATAAGTTTTTCTGATTATAAAATAAATGTTTATTTTAGAAAACTTGAAATGTATCAAAAGGACAGACAAGTAAGAAAAATCACTGAAATCTTGCAAACCAAACAGCCACAGTTAATATTTTGTAATCTATTTTTCTGGTGTTTTTTCTGTTTGTGTGGGTTTTGTTTGTAAACAAAATTAGGATCACACTGCACAAATTGTTAAAATAACATTTGAAATACGAGAAATAGCCAAACGAGCTATTGGGAACTTATTTCGCCATAACCATCTCCACATTTCTTCACTTTATTTAGAGTCACTTACTTATTAAACACTGCATTCAACCAGCCCCAGAAGTATCTGGAATCACATGACCATGGGAGTTTCTTTATGCCACACAACTGCTGGGAAACTTTTCCAAACAGCATCATTTGATCTAGACACACAAAACAGTACTTACATTAGATCATCATCAGAGTCCCATACATATAGCAACTTAACTCACAACCTCAGAGTCAATGCTCCTGTACTGATAAAGCTGATGACTCACTTGCCACTCAACAATTATTGTGCAAGTCACTCCTGTTTCTTGTTCTTGGGGTTTTTTATTTGTTTGCTGCAAAAAAAAAATGAGGGGTTGGACTGGATGGTGTCTAAGGTTCCTTCCGGCTTGAACATTAAGTTCCACGGTTGAAACCTCAATTGGAGTCTGTCTGTCGTACTGCCATCTAGTGTCCATTCAGGCGCTGTAGCTATGAATTTGCTGAAGCTGGCTCTACTCCCCATCTATATTTCCAGTATCAAAATGACACACTAAAATCACCGAAAGAGCAACGTGTCAAGGTTAAGATGCTTGCATCCAGGAAAGAAGAGGAGACATGAAAATAGATCTACCTATGACAAGGCTGCAAGTGCTGTTACCAGAGCAGTGTAAACAAAAAAACTATTTAAGGGCAGCTGGGAAAGACTGAGCAAGTAACTTCACCTCTCTGACCTCTGGTTTTCTCATTTGTAAAATGAGATGATTTGCTTAGATAACTTCCAGCTGTCAAAATCTATAACCATAATTTGAGAACGTGATTCCTGGAGTAGGTTTCGATTTGATTTACCTTAATTCCAGTTTCCCTAGTAGTGTGCTAGGTGTGTGCAGGGGACTGGGTGCGGCGGGGAGTGGGGGGATGGGGAGACAAAGATAAATGAAACATGGTGTTTGCTTTGAGCATCTGACAGTGTAATGCAGGATGGAGTGGGCTAAGACATGTTACCAAGTAGTTAAGAGTGACAGAACTTGATAAATGCCTGAAAATAGTTAAAATAAGGACAGAAAGGATTTCAACAAACAAAGGTGCCAGGAAAAATTATGCCAGATTAGCTGAAGCAGGAACATTTAAGGCATGTTATTTTCAGTTTCACTAGCACATGTGAGTCATGAGAAGAGGCAGGCAACTTGCAGTCAGGTCATGAAGGGTTTTGCATGCTCAGCCAGGGAATTTGGACTGTATTAAGTAGGCAGCGGAGAGTCACCAAGGTTTTTGAACAAAGCACTGGCCTTTGGGAGGCCGAGGCAGGCTGATCATGAGGCCAGGATATCGAGACCATCCCGGCTAACACGGTGAAACCCCGTGTCTACTAAAATCAAAAAAAAAAAAAAAAAAAAAAAATTAGCCGGGCATCGTGGCATGCACCTGTAGTCTCAGCTACTCGGAGGTTGAGGCAGGAGAATCGCTTGAACCCGGGAGGCGGAGGTTGCAGTGAGCTGAGACTGCACCACACCGCACTCCAGTTTGGGCAACAGAGCGAGACTCTGTCTCAAAAATAAATAAATAAATAAATAAATAAATAAATAAACAAATAAATAAATAAATAAATAGAACAAAGCATTGGCATTGTTACAGTTGTGCTTCAAGAAATTTACTCAGACGGCAGCATCAAGATGAAGGGTCAACAGAATGGGACAGCCAGACAGCAAGGGCTTCAATCACATGAGACCACGGGAAAGGGCCTAGTTGGGGAAGGATGGGAATGACATTACAGAGTTGGTTCCATATGACTTAGCTGAGAGAGATGTAGGGGCATGGGCTGCAGGAGTTGAAAATGACACCAGGTTTTGGCCCTGAGTCACTAGTAGTAGGATGGTGATGCCATTAAAAGAAATCACATCAGGAGGACAGGGTTACAGGTTCAGATTTTTTTCTTCTAGTTTTTCATAATCTACATATTAAGTGTTAGCAGGATTTCTAAGTGCAGATGACGAAAAATCATTGGAATCAGAGGTCACAAAATGTTAGCACTATAAGGAATTTAGATCACCTGGATGAAATCTCTCATTTAGAGGTGAGGAAACTGAAGCCCTGATGTTAAGTAACTTCCTGACACCCTAAATCCTTTCTTAAACAAGGTGGGGTATTAATAAATGCTGTGTTTAAAGGGACTTGCTCAATGTTTCATGACTAATTGGTGGTAGTGTTGAAACTCGAACCCAGTTCTCTACCAGCCCAGGGTCCTTTCCTCAATCATTACAAGGTTCTAGAATTCAAGAGAAAGAAGAGGGCTAGAAAGATGCCTGAGTGGGAAACACCTTAGAGCTGAGGAAGTGATTGAGGATGCTGAGGCCGTGGAACAGTGAGAGATGTGAACTGAAGACAGAACCAACCACCCTTTTCATCTCTTTTCCACCATAGCCGTCTTCATTACTGCAAACCTCTGCTCCACTACCTCTTATCATGTTCTCAACCCTTTCCAGCTTTTTGTTAAAGCTCTCTCTGTCTGTGCCCACCTCGAATAACTCTATTAGTTGTCAATCTTATTTACAAATAAGGGCTTTCCCAGTTTCTACTCAGGCTGTTTTCTCTTAAGCCTCCCTCCCCCATCACCATCAATCTGTGGAAATCTCACCCAATTTCAAGACCTTACTCAAATGCCATATCCATTCATTCATTCATTCATTCATTCACTCAAAAAATGTTTATTGAATGTCTGCTATACTTAGTGCAAAGGCAACAGTGGTAAGACAAAACAAACAAAAATAAGAACAAAGGAGAAAGAGACACACAGAAAGACAAGGTTCCTGACCTCATAGAATGTATAATTTAATACAGACAGATGACATATAAAGAGATAAATAACACCCAACGTGGTTGGCTAGTAGAGGTGTGAACAAATGCCATGAGAACCTAGAGAAGGGAGTAAGAAGAAGGCTTCACACCAAAGGTGTCTTGAAATGGGTCTTGATAATTAAGAGTTTTCAGTTAGTCTAAAAGCAGAAGCAGAATATGCAAAAAAAAAAAAAAAAATCCAGTTAGAACGAAAACAGAGTATGCAAAGTAAAAGAAAGAGCAAGGATGGCATCTCATTCATTTCAATTTTTCTCAGCATAATGCAAAAGTTTAATAAATATTTGTTTATTAATAGTCTTAAATGGTTGACATGTTTCCATGGAGAAAGGTAAAACCAGTTAAACTGTTATTAAGCAGGTGAATTAGAGTGATCTTTGAAAACTGACTATTTTTGCTTGATTCATTTTGACCCATCTTATAATTTAGCTTAAACAAAAGGCCAAATTTACTTCAGCTGTAATCTCTAAAAACACAAGATACTAGATTTAAAATGTTTTAAACATAAAAATTAAACTTATATTTGGCAATAGAGTTAACAAAAATTGGTAGGTTTTTACATTCTCAACTGCAACTTTGCTAATGATTTTGCAAATTATTCCTACTTGAGTCCAAGCAGTTGCCTTTGGGAACACTTTCTAAAGGGAAAGAGGAGACCTCTAGTGGTAAGTTAGTGAATCTAGCTCTAATAAATTAAAAGTACCCAGTTAAATGCAAATTAGAAAATAACCACTACTAAATTACTGCTGCCATGATAATCCACCATGATTAAGTGGGTTTCGTACCAGGGATGCGCAAATGGCTTAACATACACAAGTCAATAAACATTATACGCCACATAAACACAATTAAAAACAAAAATCACATGATCATCTCAATAGATGCAGAAAAAGCATTTCACAAAATCCAGCATCCCTTTGTGATTAAAATCCTCAGCAAAATTGGCATACAAGGGTATGCCAAAGTAATAAAAGCCATATATTACAAACCCACAGCCAACATAATATGAACAGGGAAAGTTTAAAGCACTCCCTTCAAGAACTGGAACAAGATAAAGATGCTGACTCTCACCACCCCCCTTTCTTTTTGTTTTTTTGAGATGGTGTTTCACTCTTGTCGCCCAGACTGGAGTGCAATGGCACGACCTCAGCTGACTGCAACCTCTGCCTCCTGGCTTCAAGTGATTGTCGTGCCTCAGCCTTCCAAGTAGCTGGGATTACAGACACCCACCACCACATCCGGCTAATTTTTTGTATTTTTAGTAGAGATGGGGTTTCACCATGTTGGCCAGGCTGGTCTTGAACTCCTGACCTGAGGTGATCCACTCCCCTTTGCCTCCCAAAGTGCTGGGATTACAGGTGTGAGCCACTACACCCAGCCTCATTCTTATCACTTCTATTCAACATAGTACTGGAAGTCCTAGCCAAAGCAATCAGACAAGAGAAGAAAGAAAAGGCATCCAAATCGGTAAAGAGGAAGTCAAACTGTTGCTGTCTGCTAATGATATGATTGTATACCTAGAAAATCCTAAAGACTCCTCCAGAAAGCTCCTAGAACCAATAAATGAATTCAGCAAAGTTTCAGGATACAAAATTAATGTACAAAACTAGTACCTTTCCTATATACCAACAGTGACCAAGCTGAGAATCAAATCAAGAAACTCAACCCCTTTTATAATAGCTGCAAAAATAAATAAATAAATAAATGCTTAGGAATATGCCTAACCAAGGAGGTGAAAGACCTCTAAAAGGAAAACTACAAAACACTGCTAAAAGAAATCACAGACGACACAAACAAATGGAAACACATCCCATGCTCATGGATGGGTAGAGTTAATATTGTGAAAATGATCATACTGCCAAAAGCAATCTACAAATTGCTTCAAGTTCATTGCAGATTCTGGATATTAGTCTTCCCATCAATACAATCCCCATAAAAATACCATCATTCTTCAGAGAACTAGAAAAAATAATCCTAAAATTCATATGGAACCAAAAAACAGCCCACATAGCCAAAGCAAGACTAAGCAAAAAGATAAATCTGGAGGCATGACATTACCTGATTTCAAACTATAACATAAGGCCATAGTCACCAAAACAGCATGGTACTGGTATAAAAATAGGCACATACACCAATGGAACAGAATAGAGAACCCAGAAAGAAAACCAAATACTTATAGCCAACTTACCTTCAACCAAACAAACAAAAACATAAAGTGGGGAAAGGACACCCTATTCAACACATGGTACTGGGATAATTGGCAAGCCACATGTAGGAGAATGAAACTGGATCCTTATCTCTCACCTTATACAAAAATCAACTCAAGATGAATCAAGGACTTAAATCTAAGACCTGAAACTATAAAAGTTCTAGAAGATAACATCAGAAAAACCCTTCTTGACATTGGCTTAGGCAAGGGTTTCATGACCAAGAACCCAAAAGCAAATGCAATAAAAACAAAGATAAGTAGTTGGGACTTAATTAAACTAAAGAGCTTCTGCATGGCAAAAGGAACAGTCAGCAGAGTAAAAAGACAACTCACAGAGTGGGAGAAAATCTTCACAATCTATACATCTGACAGAAGACTAATATCTAGAATCTACAATGAACTCAAACAAATTAGCAAGAAAAAACCAAACAATCCCATCAAAAAGTGGGCTAAGGACATGAAGACAGTTCTCAAAAGAAGATATATGAATGGCCAACAAACATATGAAAAAATGCTCAACATCACTAATGATCAGGAAAATGCAAATCAAAACCACAATGTGATATCACCTTACTCCTACAAGAATGGCTATAATCAAAAAATTTTAAAAAATAGATGTTAGCGTAGATATGGTGAAAAGGGAACACTTCTACACTGCTGATGGGAATATAAACTAGTACAACCACTATGGAAAACATTGCGGAGATTCCTTAAATAACTAAAATTAGAACTACCATTTGATCCAGCAATTCCACTACTAGGTGGCTATCCAGAGGAAAGGAAGTCATTATATAAAAAAAGATATTGGCACAGACGTTTATAGCAGCACAATCTGCAATTGCAAAAATGTGGAACCAACCCAAATGCCCATCAATCAATGAGCGGATAAAGAAGCTGTGGTATATATATATGATGGAATACTACTTAGCCATAAAAAGGAATGAATTAATGGCATTCACAGCAACCTGAATAGGATTATTCTTTTTTTTTTTTTTTTTTTTGTGAGACATAGTCTTGCGCTCTATCACGAGGCTGAAGTGCAGTGGCGCAATCTCAGCTCACTGCAACCTACGCCTCCCGGGTTCAAGTGATTCCCCTGCCTCAGCCTCCCAAGTAGCTGGGATTACAGGCACATGCCACCACACCTGGTTAATTTTTTGTATTTTAGTAGAGATGGGGTTTCACCATGTTGACCAAGATGGTCTCAATCTCCTGACCTCGTGATCCGCCTGCCTTGGCTGCCCAAAGTGCTGGGATTATAGGCGTGAGCCACCGCACCTGGCCTGGAGTTTACTATTCTAAGTGAAGTAACTCAGGAATGGAAA